ATGCATATCAACCCTGCCTCGTTCTTCAACCTCAAGATCACAGAGTTCGTTTGTTAGCAAACAAGCGGAGAAATTGTGAAAGGTCCTCTCGTATCATTATTCATAATATGGCCTCTCCTCGCTACTCAACAAATGCGCCAAATGGAGATGGGTTTAATCCCCATTGACCTCATGTACCTTCTTGGACAAGCTTGGTGTCGGCCACCTAGAGATAGGCCACTGGATCGCCCGATCAGCAAGAGCAGAGTCTGCTGATGTTCGTAGGGGAGGGGACCTGAGGGTAGGCATAGAGATTGGTCTTGTTGGCATGGTCGCCGATGCTACCAGCTGTCCCCTGGTCGGTATCGCCCACTTGCAGGTCGGGCGCAACTTCTGTGTTCTCTCGTCAACACATCTGTGGCTGCTAAGGGGTTCCCCGTACGACTATAATTAGTAGTAGTTGTAGGTAGGTAGTGTGAGATGAAATTGAGAAACAAATGTGGCTTAAACCACCTCTACCTTTTATAGGCAAACACAAATCCATCTAGTAGCCTACCCCTAAAACGCCGGGACTCAGGGCAGGGTTGGAGTTGTCAGTCTGACAACCTGTCTCTTATACACATCTAGATGTGTATAAGAGACAGGTTGTAGGTAGGTAGTGTGAGATGAAATTGAGAAACAAATGTGGCTTAAACCACCTCTACCTTTTATAGGCAAACACAAATCCATCTAGTAGCCTACCCCTAAAACGCCGGGACTCAGGGCAGGGTTGGAGTTGTCAGTCTGACAACACTTTCATAACCAGATATCAATCTATCAATACAATCATTAAAAACTCACCAACAATGAAGAAGAAAAGCAAGGTCGAAAGAGAGAAGGAACGAGAAGATGATGACATTACACAAGCGGGAATAGTACACGTGCGATAAAAAGTAGTCGTTATAAATTTTCGAACGCGACTGGTTCGTAATCATAACACCTTGAAAGTATTGAGCCGATCTACCGTGGCCCCGAAGAGAAGAAAATTAAAAAAAAAAAGAACAAAAGAAAAAAAAACTAAGAGTTTTGAATCCAGGGACGTCGGGGAAGACCCTCACGAAGTGGAAGTTACACTAGTGCTTTGAGGAATCTGGCCACTAAGTGAGGAACGTAGTTGCTGTTGGCTATTTTTTTTCTCTCGTTTTTATGTCCTTGTAGTGCCCTGCCAACCAGGCAGGGCGTACTACCAATGTAGTGGTGAAAAAGTACTACGAAATATCAACGACCCTGGGGGGGAAAAAAAAGAAATATTGGATCCCGCAGAGCCGATTTCTTTGGTGGTCGTCCTGGACCCACGACCACTCTTTATGGGCGCTAGTTCAGGGCGGACGGGGTGCAGGTTGCACCTCGTCGACGGACCTCAGACGTTCCAACCTCTACAAATGGAGAAGGAAAAAAATAAATAAAAAAATTGCTCCCTCTTTTTGGTTGCAGTGATGCCCTCGACGTCTACACGACAGTTGTAGTATTTCCGTTTGTGCCCTTTGTGGACGTGCTACCACGACACATACATAAAAAACGCGGGGACCTCAGAAACGTGTGGGATCTCAAAACTACAGTGGAGTTGGGATGCAGTGTAGTGGTGGGATTAAACCCTTACCTCACACTCACACTAGCGTTGAGCATCCTGTATAGACCCTCAATCACAACATAAGGGATACTTTTTTTTTTTTTCGTTCTTCGCTTCTTTTTTGTCAGACACAGGCGCTCACTGAGGGCTTATTCACACTAGCACATCATATATAATGTATCTAATGGTTATCACAACATTGGGGAAGGTTTTATTTATTTTCCCCTTTGTTCCTTTTTGGATGCAACCGCCCCGACTCAGCAAAACTCGATGCGCAGTGAAAAATCAGGCTCAATAAAACAGGTTCTGCAAATGAAGGTCTTAATTAATAAGATCCGAAGACAGCTGGATATCAGAGGGCTTCAGCTGCGAGAGAACTCTATGCGTATAGTCAAGGCCCTTGCGGACGACCTATTTACAGTGTGTGAGAACTTGGAAATTACTCTATCCACACTCAAAGAGACTATGGAGGAATACTTTGTGCTCTCATAGGCGTCAGTCAATTGGTCCAAATTGCCTACTGCCAAAAAAAATCGAACTGCAAGTGGAATGGGGGATGCACAGGGTGAAGGAAGGTGAGGAGGAAAGATTTATGGACGTCCTAATAAGTCAGCAGATACGAGAAACGACACAAGGAGTACTACTCCAACACAAAATAGCAGCAAGACTAAACCTTTTGGGGCGAGCGTGACACCTGTCCATCATTGGAAGAGCATTGGTGGCCAATATGTCGTTGCTCTCAATCCTGTGGTTCGTAAACCAAATAAGAAAACTAGCCAATAGTGTGTTGACTACCGTCCGCAGACTGATCGCACGTTTCATGTGAAAGCCAACAACAAAACAATCCAAACGTTTCTTGATCAAGGTTGCTTGAGAAACTCTGACCTTCTCAAAAGAACAAGGTGGACTGGGAATGATAGATCCGGCTACGAGAAACCAAACACAATTGCGCACATGGTTGTGTAAGGTTACAACGACAGACCCAAACGAGCATTGGATAATACTCGGGGAGAGACTACTAATGAGGAACTGAAATCAGAGTCGCCCAGATGATGCCTGGGCCTGGTTTTTCATATCTTCCTGCTACAAAAAAAAATTGACCTCAACCTTCTGGAACGCAGTGCGCATAGCATGAAAGAAACACCTGCCGGAGGTGCAACACCAGCCCCACTGCACACCAAGGAAGAAGTCCTGGCGCAGATCGTATTTGAAAACCCCATCATCAAGCGACCGAACGGAGAGATGCTGGCAGCAGATGGGTCGGTGTCAGCCTTCGGTCGAGCTTGGATTCGTAGGGGGTTGGTGCGAATCATAGATCTGTGGTCAAATTTACTTGGTGGTTGGAAGCCCCTATCAGAAATAAAGACGAACCTGGCAGGCCTCCATCAGGTGGAAGACCACTGGCTAACGGTAATACAGGCTATACCGAAAGAATGAAAGATTATTCTGGGTCTGGAAGGAGCGGACCCCCTGGGAACCTGGTACAAGGCAGTGGAAGAGGAAGACCATGAGGTGGTTTGGAAACTAGTGGAGATTCAACCATGTGGGTTTAGAAAAGTTGAACGGTGGAGAGCTGCAAAACATACCAACACACTGAGCAGAGTGGGGGAAGATACTATCATGATCTGGAGCAACCCGAACCAGATCAGAGTGGTGGAGTCGGCAAAACAAACAAGGAGAACAAGGATCCTAAAGTGGACAGGCAGAGTGCCGCTGAGAGAACTCAACATTGACCCATTAGCATGCAGTTGGAAACGAGAGGGAGACCGAACCGTCAATGTGAGCCTGGCACAGTACACGGTGAAGGAAGGGTACAAAACAACAAGAATAGGCAGAAAGGCACCATCAACGGTAGCAAAACACAGATGGCGAACATCGCTAGGGGAGGAGATCCCAAAGGCAGAAACAAAGTTGAACCGACTGTGGAAAACGCTCACCCAATTAACAAATGGGAAACAAGTGAGTTTGCTATGGCTGCTATCGCTACTAGTAACCCCCTTTTCCAGTCTAGCTACTGAGCAAGGGAATAGTGGTGAAACTTCGCTGCAGACGGCGCAATTGGCCTTTCGAATCAACCCGACACCTATGGTGGGAATGACCAGCCTCCAAGAGACTGTGTAAGTGGGGGGAACACCACTGGAAGAGGATGAGAGGCAGAGGCGTGGAGTGGGAAGAGAGATGGGTGCTACTACCGTCTTCCCCCAAACATAAGGCATATGCGTTGTAAACAAATACAACACATACCGTTATGTTCGAGTGAACGAGACCAACTTTGCCTGCACAAGGGGGTTGGGTCCAGGCTGAGTAGGCTCAGTTCTGGACCACGGCTGGGGGCCGCAGAGCCTTGGCAAAAGTAAAGTAGCAACGTACCTTTCCATGTTTTGGGTTGAGTTTCATTCCTTTCCCCTACTTGGGCCCTTGCTTCACTCCTCAGCAAATGTGCAAAATGCGAATGAATCTTCCACTAGACAGTGGACAAATACAACCCCTTTCTTTTTTGTCTCAGTGACCATGGTAGTGCAGCGAGATCTTTGTGAGTGGCTTTCTTATTTTTCCACTTTCTTGGCCGCGCCACATTCTTGGCTGTCAGAAGCGCCTTCACGCACGGAGAGAGAGAGAGAGAGAGAGAGAGAGAGAGAGAGAGAGAGAGAGAGAGAGAGAGAGAGAGAGAGAGCATGGCCAGTGACCTGTGATTACGGGTCTGCACGGGCCTGTCCCGTTCACCAAGGCAAGAACGGAGCAGGCGTTGACCTTTGGGGAAAAAAAAAGAGAAAAGGTTATATTCGAATGCAACAATTTTCTCTTCGTGAAATTCAAATATAACGCATATGCGTATTATCCGAATGGAACGCATATGCGTTATATTCGAAGTGCCCTTGTATTCGAAGAAAAGGGTCTAACTTTCCAAAAAACATTTTTTTTGGAAAACTCGAATACAACGCATATGCGTTATGTTCGGGGGAAGACGGTGGGATTCTTACCGCCGGAGCTGAGCGACAAGGCGGGGGGTGGGTATGTAGCGCAAGTGGTCAGAGGCATACTAGTCCAAATCATCTGGGCAAATAGAAACAGAGCTCGCTTCAAGGATCGTCCTATGTCGGATGTTGAACTGAAAGGAAGATTCAAACAAACATTCAAAACAGCGATCCGGGTAGACTGCAGAAGAGTGGCAAGGTCAGGGGGAGGAACCAGGAGGCAATTGAAGTGGACCTGGCAAACTTGGGCAAGGGAAGAGCAGTTGGCAACATTGCATCTGACTACAGGGCTCTCAATATCTAAATGGTTACTAGAACTCCATAACACAAGTAACTAGAAGTCAGAAAGTAAAGAAGGCCTGAGTTGAGGAGCAAATAGTCTAGTAGAGGTAAGGCAGTAAGAAATAGTGTAAGAGGTTGGTCACTTAGACTAAGGGCGTCGTTAGACACTCCTCGAGCCGTCCTCGGAATTCGAGGACGAATCCTCGGAAATTTTTACGTATTTTTGAGGTATCGTTCCACCTGTCCTCGGAGAATCGCCCCGCCCGCCGTCGTGTCGACCTTTTGCGCGGACGGTGTTTTGTCCACCCCAGAAGTCCCCGCCTGTAGCGTGGGGATTGGCGGACATGGCGCCACCTGCCCGACCTTTGGAGGAACTTGTCTCGCCACGCGCGCGTCCGTCATGACAATCCCTGCCGCCTTCGGGGTTCGTGCCAACGAGACGGCGACACCACCGATGAAGCCTTGCTTCAGAGCGGCCAGCTGCTCCCTCGACACCCCGTCCCGCCTAAAACCCATTCGCTTCATGACGTCCGCTCCTTGTGCATCCACCATCGACTCTTCCTCGCCGTGCAAATCCCCACTATGTTCGGAATTGTCGTCATTGTAGCGCGGCCTTTTCGACTTCGGCACGCGCCCTCTGCCTTTTTGGGTCTCCCCAACGTCGCCCGATCCGCTGTTTCTTTTCGCCTTTCCTGAAGCGCCGCGCGGTGGCATGTCGTCCACAAAGAAGTGCGTGCCGAATGTAAACAGCTGCGGCGCTTGGCTGACGTGGACAAAGGACCACGTGGACGACGCGAATGAAGGAGCGGTCGGAGGTCGATGACGGGCACCTTGCCGACGGACGACGTTGATGTTGCAGCGCTTCGCTGCGGCTGTGGACGAAGGACCAGTCCGATGGCACGCCGCTTGCCTGACGTGGATGTAGGAGGACGTGGATGTAGGAGGACGTGGATGCCCGCGGAGCCCAAACCCGCCGATCGTAGCGTCGAAGCGGATGACTAGGCCTGCGGCGACGAGACCATGCACAGACGGTGCCTTTGGAGCTGTCGCGATGGAATGCCAGCGGTACGGAATGCCTCCCGGAATCCCCTTTTGTACGGTGCGCAGTCTCGCAGCACACCATGGACAGGCCAGGCCGTCCACTACAGCCCGCCCCTTCGTCGATTCGCAACAGACGAATTTTCTCGCGGCGCGCAGGTCATCCTCCGCATGACGAACAAGGCACGAGGGCGCGCAGGAGCTCCCCGCAGGAGGTACAAAGACCCCGCCCCCAAAAAGGCCAGGCACTCCAATGAGTCCCATCCGCCATTTTCCCCTCGCGTCCCAAAAAACCCACCCTGCCGCCTACACCTTCGCGGACACCCCCAAAGAAGACCCTGGAAGATCGCCATCCATGCGTGGAGACAACAACTCACAACAACGTTCTTTAAACACTATCTAAAAAACGGAGGACGTGTTGTACAACCTCAGGACGCGCCGCAGGAGATGAAAGCAAACAACGCCCTACACAGTCATGAATCAAACCGCTGAAGTCAAGCTCGTTCGCGGATCGCTTTAGCAATCTCCATCAAGGCGTTACACATCATGAAGTTCGCCTGGTCAACCTTCTCGTAGTGATCCTTCTGCACTTGAATCTCTCTCTCCAGAATGTCGCATTGCCTCGTCAGAATTGAGCACTGCCTCTTGCTCGCGCTGTCCACAGTCGTCGACATCAGCGCCCCGTGCTCCTTCATGACGTCCGCCATCGCCTCGAAGGTCTGCTGTCTGACATTCTTTCGTTTGCCGGCCCCACCACCGCCACCACCGGAGAACGACGAATCCCTCGTCGATCTACGATCGTCGTCCTGACCACCCCCCCTACGTCACTACCACCGGATTCGTTTCGCCCGCCAACCGCGCCAAGCAATTGAACACCTCCCGGCGCACCCGTGTCCACGAGATTCGTGGGGTGTATAGTGTGATCGCCCCCGGACATCGCCTTCATCTCCGAATACACGCACTCATCCATCCTAAAGTCGAACCCCCGCTCCCTCCTCTCCCCCGATGTTAGTGTGAAGTAGTTAGGCTTCCTGGACTCTCCCATGAACTTGTGCACGGATTTGAACTGCTGGTACAGGTTGTCCCATTTCTTTCCGTAGTCGACGACCTTCCTACTCGTCACCCCCATTTGCACCAGCCTCTTCTCCACGTCCTCGCACTTCCATGTCTTCGTCTTCATCCGTCCGTAGTTGTGCCCCAGGCCGGCCAGATGCGAATCCTGGTCTCTTTTGGCTCTAATAAGAGCGATCATATGCTCCACTGTCCAAAAATCCCTGTTTTTTGTTCCGTCGCCTGCCGACGATTCTTCGCCGCACTTCTTGCCTTTCCCCCCCTTGCGCGATTCTCTAACCTTGGTTCTCGCTGTCGACCCTCCGCGCTTCCTCCCTACTGGATGAATCTCCATCTCGTCGTCTTCGTCGTTGTCATCACCGTCGTCATCTGCAGCGATCTCCTCGCCCCCTCCACCACCGCAGTCCTCAAATTCGTCTTCAGCCCCCACACCGATTCTCGCCACCCCTCTCGTTATACCGGCCGTGTTCGTGGAACGCAATCGTTGCCGTTCTTCATCCCAAAACTGACGACCGACGACCTCCGCAACGTTGCGCTCGTCGTCGTCCCCTTCTCCGTCGATTGCACCGCCTGGCGGCGGCGTTCGGCAGCCTGCCAATCCAGCTGTCTTCGTCCTCGATGCGGCCACACTTGCTGTACTCAAAGCCACCCACCTCGGCGAAACGAATCCACGGCTATCCGCAGGGCCAACCGCCCTCACGGAAGGCGATGTGTGTTTGGAGGCAGAAGCCGGGTTCACGACAACAGTGTGCGCCAGACCCTCACCACTCCCAGACCTCAGACCGAAGCTCAAATCGACGAGTCTAGCGTCGTAACCAGCGGGGGTCCGACCCTCCAGCAAATCAGTGTACGTCGGCGTCGATGCGTGTCTCTACACCTGGCTCCCTATCCAATCCTGCGTCGAACCGCTGCCCAGAGGAACCGTTGAGGATCTGGGGTCGTCGACGTCGTCGTCACTCGGAGGCAATGGAATCTCGTGGGACGGCAGGTGGCTGTACAGCGTCGGGTCGTACGACCGCCTGCCGCCTTCCGCACTGTTGCAACGCTGACGCGAGGACCCCCCACCTCCCACCGACATCGTCGTCTTTGTCTGAAGCTTATCCATCTTCGTCGACCTCTTCGGCGTTCGACGCGTCTGTTTCCTTCCAGGAACGTGACCGAGGAAACAGATGTGGAAGACGACAACGATGAGCAGCAGCAGAGCGACGAGCAGCAGCGAATGTAGCCTACGGTACAGGTCTGCCATCAACGTTAGGTCAGCCGACATAGAACCGTTGTCGCATTCGCGGCGAGCAGAGACACACCGTGCGAGAGGGAAGACGCCAACGAACCAAATTCATGCGAGCAGCGACAGGGGGAGGACGTGTACAAAATCCGTAATTCCGACCGTTGGGAAGCCCGTGGGAACGCCACGAAGCCTCCGGGCGCCGGCCGAAGACGTCCGACAATCGCCATGGCCCCTCCGTGGGGCCGCCCGAAGGACCTACAGGGCCGTCCCGTGATTCAGCGCCAATGGTAAAACAAGGAGGCCGTTGCTGGAGGTTTTCGACTACGACGGCCGGGGATGTCCGTCTTCTGGCCGCTGGACCACCACTGGACCACCTTCGGCCTCCAATTTCCGTTCTGGAGTAGGTGCCGACACCCCGTTAATCGCGGGTCCTCGGGCTCCGAAGGACCTCGCAAGGTCCTTCGAGTTCGAGGACGATTTGGCTGGGAAATCCTCGGAGCCCGAGGATTTGTCCTCGGAGTGTTTTCACATTTTCATTTCCGATTTCATCTCCGAGGACAGGTGGAACGACGACGGAATCCTTGGAATCGCGTCCCCGAGGAGTGTCTAACGACGCCCTAACTACAAGGGCACTCGGTTCTATAGGGTGACAGTGGACCTCATAGGAGAGTGCCGAGATAGGAGGACTAGGTCCAATGGGCGGTGGCAGTCCCAGGGCCGCTGCAGGCCCAGTAGCTTGGGTGGCAGTACTTAGCCTAAGGTAGATCTTGTTTGAAGATCAGGCTCTGAGATCAGTGGCAAGGGAAAGGTGATCTCTAGATTTTTACCAGTGGTGGTTACAATGGGACAAGTAGTATAACCTGGAGAGATGCAGCAGTCGGTACAGCACAGACAAAATAGAGAGAAGAGGCAGTAGCTGTGGAGAATGTCAGTGGAACTACAAAAGAAGCTGTTCTTTTCTGCAGATGTAGCTTCTCTTTTTGTTTGTATAGGTCTCATAAATATACCAATCATGAAATTCTCTGTAATTCTCTGTAAAAGGTGCAAACTGAATTATGCCCTCGGGTCCCACTGGGTAATGCTCCCAGAACCGGGTAGAATTGTGAGGTCCCCGGCCTCACTCAACATTGAATTTGTAATATGAAAACAAAAAAAAAAACAAAAAAAAAAACAAAAAAACAAAACAAAATGGAGAACGTATGATCCCCGAGACCGTGGAAAGATGCACGCGCCATAGTTTTGGTCTTTTTCACATTTGGTGAGTGGTGCAGCGAGCGCCATCCTCTCATGTGGATCACGAGTTTGGGCCGCTGCACCACTCACCAAATGTGAAAAACAAACAAACATCGTCGGGCTTGGGGCAATGACACAACCTTGTGAGCGATTTTTCCCCACTTCCTTTTGGCGCGTCTATTGCTGGTCGAAAACTCAAAACACAACGCAACCCATAGCGGGCGAATCTTCGTGCTTTCTAGGGAAAGGTACGTCCTCCATTTTCGCTCAATATGGCGGGTGAATAGTGCGGCGGGACCTGTTGTGTGCACGCCCTCGGGCGGTAACACCCGTCAAATTCGGCGCGCCTGCATTCGGCGGCGGCGCCGTTCAATCGAATCAACGGCTTTCAAATTGGCGGGGAACCTTTGATAAGGTAGCGCGGCCAATCCCCGTGAAAATTCTCAGCGGCATTGTAGTTTAAACACAACTGTCGCAGTTCAAACCAGCGGTACTGCCGCTGCGGCTGACATAGACTCGGAGTCGCTTTTTTTTAGTCGGTTTCCATCCTTCCACCTCCGCGCTCCTCGTTTCCATAGCCGTTTGCTGTACAAGCTTTTGGATATGGCGTCCACTACAGCTGCTGCCGGCGCGGCCGCCGCCATCGCGCCAACTGCAGGCATTGCCGCCTCTCCTTCTGCGAGAAGGGACCACCACAGGGTCAGCAGCCGTCAATCAGCTTCCCCTTGCTCCTCATGCATTTGCCAGAGAACCGGTCTTCGTGTCTCCTCCACTGCTTCGTCTTTCCTTGCCTCTCCCACCTTCTCCTCCTCATCGTCGCTTTCCCTGAGAGGCGCCCAACAGAGGCATGGAGGGGCATCGACAGGAAGAGGGATGCCCGTGACGAGGAGTATGGCGAAGGAGCTCTACTTCAACAAGGATGGGTCCGCGATGAAGAAGATGCAGGTACATTTTCTCTTCCCCTTTTCTCCCTTGTAAACTCCTACCCTCTCTCTCTCTCTCTCTCTCTCTCTCTCTCTCTCTCTCTCTCTCTCTCTCACTCTCTCTGTGTGTGTGTCTGTCCGTCTGTCGCTTTCTCTCGCTCCGAGCCTCTGCTCTTTCCCGCTCTCCCCTCTCTCTCCTCGTTTTCCTCTCTCTCGCCTGTCGCTCTCCTCGCTCTCTCTTCTCTCTCTGTGAGACCTCCTCTCTCCGTGACCGCCTGCTCTCTCTCTCTCTCTCTCTCTCTCTCTGTGCCTGTGTGAATACCTCCCTCCTCTCTTTCGTCTTTCTTTTCTCGATATGCTCTCTCATTGTCGTCCAGGTCTCTCTATCACCGCCTACTCTTCTCTCTCACCCTCTTTCTTCTCGCGCGCGCGCGTCTTAGGACCGGGCCCCACGGACGGTGTTGTGTCGTGTCATGGCGTGAACCCGATCCGTCGCTTCGACCAGGTGAATTCTTAGTGGTTAGCACGGAACGCTCCCGGTACAGCCTGGCCCTGAATTGGCGCAAGGAAACGGCTGCGCGCCTCTGAATACAGGGCACGTGTTCTATTCGCGGGACATACGGCAGTGCCTCCCTCTCCGCGTGGCAGCGACGTGGCATGCTAGATCGCACCCCACTGGCCGAGGCTTCAAGTTGTATTTATTTATTTTTATATATTTTTTTATTGTGTTTGATTAACCATTGCAGAGCCTTTCATCCTCCGAGGAAATAAAAAAAAAAAGGACCTTTCTCTCTCTCTCTCTCCGAGATGCATGTTTTGTGTTCGAAAAATAGTCTGGCGCTTTTTTTTTTTTTTTTTTTTGCCAAAGGGAAAACATTTCATTTTCATGAGTTTTGTGGATGAGGGCGTATTCACAGTACACGAGCACTTGCCTGAATCTATGTGACCGCGATGACGGCCAGAATGGGATGCATGAGACTGCAATCACGTCCAGAGCTGAGTTGAAAAAGTCCTGGTATGAGTATGCCCTGATTTTTTTTCGTTTTAAGTTTTTATTTATTTATCTATTTATTTATTTAATTTGTGAGTATGCTCTCATTTAGGCAATGCGCGGCCGTGTTGTGCAAGTGCCCCCCCCAAAAAAAGCGCAAAGAAAGGAAGAAGTCACCAGCAGCAGCAAGTAGGACGATTGATTCTTTTTTTTTTTTTTTTTTT